CCTACGAGTGATTCTCTCTCTCTCTCTCTCTCTCTCTCTCTCTCTCTATCTTATATATAAAGATTCATTTTTAGCTACTTATTCTTTTATACTTATGAGAAAAAAAGGAGCTAGATCTCTTTTATCCAACTAGCAGTAAATTGAGTGTAACAACATCATTGTAAAATGATGTGCTTTTATAAAGTCCTGAATATGGTGCATCTTTTGTGTTTTGTTTCTTATTGTTTGCTCTACACAAAAGGATAATTCATTAGGCCAATTCTCCAAATAATCTCAAAGTGACATGAATTCCTCTGCAGAGTGAATGTCTGTAGTAAGTAATCCATGGAAAACAGACAGGCGTCTCTTGTCATTTTGGAGCTTTAATCCACTGCCCGGAGCATGAAAATGCTCAGGATAACAAGTGTGGGAATGACCAAAATCAACATTATTTTTTGGATTTTATTTTCTTTACAATGCTGCTGATCAGTAGAATTGCTGAATCTGGCGGATACAATGCCCTTGGATTAAGGAATTAAACTCAGGAGGAAGAAGAATTTGTTAAAGGGGGATGGAAAAAAAACTTTTTTTCCCTTTGGCAAATGTTAAGCAATGAAACCAGCGTTGACAGAATGTTTAGGTCTAGTTTACAACAGTATTAAGCCCCCCCACACCCCTTTTTTTAAAGTGTTTAAGTTTTTAATTAGAATAAAAACCATCTGCAGCTTTTCAAATATGTACTTCTGTTTGAAGCTCAGAATAGAGTAAACCTTATATCCTAAAGAGTGAATTTGTACCTGTGTGTAGGTGTAGAAAACTGATGTTGTATTCTATTGGGGCCAGATTATGATGCTTTTACATTGACTTTACTGACACTATTTATATGATTAGTTATTCACCAATGTGAGTAAGAGAGTCATAATTTGACCCTTAGCATCTACTGTCCTAAAATATCTGTCAATCTTTTCATTCTGTAAAAGTTTAAAACAAAATAGATGGAAATACTAAATTGCTTGGACAACATGCTTGTTTTAGTAAAGGTTGACTTCCTATGCTTACTTGAATGTTTGACGATTCTGCATGGCTGGAAGACTCTGGTAATTCTTCAAGCACTGAAGAAGGAGAGTGTGTGTGTGTGTGTAGGGGGGCAGGTTTATGTTTGTATTTAAAGTTTTCCTTAACACTTAGCAGACATTGGGGTCTTCCTGCAGTCTTCCTTCACCCTTTATGATAAGAGGGAAAAAACCCAACTTCATTAATGAGTTTCACCCAATTATTAAAAAAAACAACCAAACAAAAAAAACACATAAAATAATACCAGAGTGTCCAAGCAATTGGATGGTTGTGGACAAGTTAAATTTATAAGAATCCTTTGGAGAATCCCCCAGTATAATTTACAAGCCCCGCTGGACCTATACATGTCTCGAACTGACTGTTGAAGTGAGCTTTACTAGGAATTTCTTTTGCTGGATTGGGGTGGGGGGGAGGGTAAAGGAACTTTTCCTAACAAGGCTTTAAAAGCTTCAGTGGTAAAGTTATGTTGCTGGAAGTCTCCCTTACTTGTTCATTGAGAGCAAGTCACACAGGATTACACTATGGGCAGGAGATGTTATTTATGTGGGTGGCACTATTCAGGGTTTATTTTTTGCAGGGGGTGTTTTTTTTATTCAAAATGGTAAAATCAAATCAAATCAAATCCCCCAACTGGCTATAAAATCGCTCGTGCCTTTGGAGGTGAATTTATAGCTCCGTGCCTTTCACGAGCTTGGTGGAGGTTTCTCTTCCCTCCTCTAATCTCTGCCTAGATGTTTTTTGCATGTGTTGTGTGACAGCAGGGGAAGGGGAGTGGGTTGTGCTTTTCTCTTCTCCCATTGTCAGCTAGTGTAAGAGCGTGTTGGGAAAAACCTGTCTGCGGGATCCTGTGTCATCTCCCGCTACATGTGCACAGGAAAAGTCAGTGCTGCTCGCTGTGCCTCTCTGTTTCCCTTTCATTCAGTTGCTTGCACTGAAGCAGGGAGCAGGATTAGCTCGTGGCACTGGCTATCAGAGGAGCGTAGATAAAAGGCACAGCTCCTTAAGCGCCGCTGCTGCAGCCCTTGTTATTTTTTCCCTCCTTCCCCACAACAGTTGTGCCTCATTATCCACTGTCTGGCTCAATTTTTGTGCCTGTATATTGGAAGGGGCTTGAAGTTTTCCCTGCTCCACCGACTGTGGCAGAAGAAGGAGAGATGTTCTATAGCATGGCCATGAGGTCTTGATTGTTCTGCGTTTATGAATGAAACTGACCTCAATCACCTGTTACCTCCAGTTTCTAGATTGTTTGAAGTGCTGCGGGTGTACCCTACAGGACCGAGGGCACCGAGACTCCAATATACAAGGACCCTACAGTATCGTCTGCAGCATGAGCTGGCTGAATAGGATTGCATTGCTTTTCTTGGGAGTATTACTAGCAGAAAGAGTGAACTGCCAGCATGTGAAGAATAACGTGCCAAGACTCAAATTATCCTATAAAGGTAAGTCTGTTGTTGTCTTTTATTTCCTCTCTCTCTCTTTTCCTAGGATCTGTTCCTATTTTTCCTGCTTTTCCTTCTAACTAAAAAAATGGAGATTTGTGTTATAGAAAATATTTTCAAACACTTAAAAACCCATCTTATGTTCAATACTACTCAGTTTAAATGCAGACAAAGAAGAGTTAGTTACATTTGCAAAGATTCTAGAATATGCTGATTTTTGTAAGAACATTATATTATTTCATAGGACTTTACTCTTTAAAAATGATTAGACCTCTTTGACCACCCAATTAATCTTTGTGCTGCTCTGGGCATGTTGTACAGCTACAACAGAGTATTTATCTAGTTCAAACACGATGGAATAGAGGGAGATTTATGTTGGTTTTTTTTATGCATGAAGTGGTTAAATCTCAGTCATGAATATTCAGTTTGTACAGATCTGACAATCAGATGCCTCACATAAGCAGTAGATGGTGGGTTTGCCAAGAAAGTATAAACTGAAAGGAACAGATCAGCTCCAGAAAAAGGAATAATGTACTAGAAATATTATATGTGGATCTTCAATGCAATGCAATTTTTTTTCTTAAATGAAATTGTATCATATGTACTTTGAGTATATTTCAGTAATCCTTACAGAGAATGTGTTATTTAGGGAAGATAACCATGATATTACACTTACCTTTGAAAATTGGCATAGCATTAGACACAATGCATTGTCAGTAATTAACTTTAGTAAAATTATTGCTATTATTAAAAGTCAGGACTGTGAAGAACCAGGCATACCCTCTCCCTTATCATTGCAGGACATGTCATTAAAGATTCTATATATGTACATTGTCGAGAGAAAAAATAAAAAGCTGGACAGTATACAAATGGGATAGAAAATTAAACTGTAAGAGCTAGGTATTATTATTACTAAAAGAGGTTTCCACCCCTAAAAGTTGACTTCTCATAATCCCAGATGATTTATGGTGAGGAGATGGGGGAAAGTAGCTTGAGTTCAAAATG